CTTGGGGATGATCAGCATGCTCGATTACCCCCCTGTGCCAACTCCCAGACCCCTAGCTCAAACTTTGCAAAAAAATCGATAAAATCGATAAAAGTAACCGATAATCCCGAAAACCAATATTGTATTCGGAATCCCCATGCTCGATTACCCCCCTGTGCGAACTCCCAGCCCCGTAGCTCAAACTTTGCAAAAAAGTCGAAAATCGATAAAAGTAATCGATAATCCTGAAAACCAATGTTGTATTCGGAATCCCCATGCTCGATTACCCCCTGTGCCAACTCCCAGCCCCGTAGGTGAACTCAGCAAAAAAAACTATAAAAATCGATAAAATCGATATCGATCGATGACGAAAAGTAGCCTACGACATCCGCCTGGGCCCGTAGTGTATGTGTGCCAAGTTTGGTCCGGATCGGTTCAGAAATAAAAATTTCTATTCGGAACATACGTACATTCATACATACATACAGACAGACATACATACATACAAACAGACATTCAGCTTTATATATAAGAAGATTGAAGCTCTTGATCTCTACTTTTACGCTGACAACGTCCCAAAACGACATTTTTGGTTTGAATGAGAAATCCGGCAAAAACCTTGTTTTCAAAAATCTCTTGTTTCCCCCTCGTTTAACTCTTTTCACACGCCTTTTCGAGCATTCTATAGATCTTGCTTTTCTTCATAACACAGACAACGACCCAGTGCTTACCTCTTCCATTATGGCGGAATTTTTTGTGAAAATTCGCAAAAAGTGCGTTTTTCTTTATCGTATTCTGCTTCAGTGTTTTCGCAGCGATTGTTGCTCAGAACAATAAGCGCAACAATCCAGACAACGACCCAAGAAACGTGAATGTCAATGCGGGGGTAAAAATTTAAAGGACGCATCAAAATTAAATTTGGCTTTGACGTGCATTTCGACTTAGTAAAAAAGAAACTTTGTGTTTTCAAAACTAATTTCTTATTTGTTTATCTTCTTCTTGATAACTACTTCCGAAACATGGGTTGTTTTGAAGCAATCACAAAAAAATCAGCTTTTCTCGTCTTTCCCCCGTTTTGCGATTTGTGGTGTCCTAGAGCTAAAACCTGCACTTTAAAAAGCCGCCAAATGAAAGATTTCAAACCTATATGCGGCGTTTTTATCCGGTTTTGCGCACTTTCTTTTGCTTTTCATATCTGTTTTGCGTCTTTTTTCTTCTCTAATTTTCTATAAACAACCTTCACTTTTCATGAGGGCAAATGTTGAAACAACCTTCACTTTTGACGCCCTGTCTTTGGACTATCGAAGGTATGCTGATGGTAGCTATAATAACTTACATAATATGGTCTCAAAAAAGAAATTTTGAGCGACTCGCAGCGTTGTCTTTGAAAAATGTACGGAACACCATGGCAATTTTCTCAGGCCATAGCATCAATACCTGGTAATCCGAGGTCTACTTATCTATGCAGGTTTTTGTGAAAAAAGCCGAGAACAGCAGCACGGATCTCTGTAAATTTCAAAGCATTTATAATACTTCGCAATTTTTTACTCGATAAGCCCTACTGTATAGGGAAATTTTTCCGTGTGCTTTATAGCAATGCAGTAGTTTGTAGTGAACACTGCGCTGTAGATGGATTTTTTTTTGAGATAAATTGTGATATTCATTGCATACGTAAAGAATGATGAATGGATGGGAGTATGTTGCATGAATGATACAAATAAAAAAATAAATACCGCAATAAATGCTAAGATTCCTATTGTGACCTTTTTTCGAAAGTAGTGAGCCAAGATATCCACTTTTTTTCTCAGAATTTACTAAAGTTGGAAGTCTAACTCAAACTTTCATTTCATGGGCTTTGCAGTGAAATTGTGTTAGCAGCACAGGTATCAAAATTATCAAAATCTATAGCAAACACAGACAGGCGGAAGGAAATGATTTCTATCTTCTACGGGAGTCTACAAATCCGTTTTTTTTGTCCAACTTATTTTCGTACTTACAATATACATATAACAGAAAGAGTTTACGGAAAGTGGAAAATTACGAAAAGCTATATTTGGCCTGAAGTTTGTCTTATTCTAATCAAGCAATAACGACTGACCATCAAGTTAGGTCGCATTCAATATATTGGTTCGTAACATTTTCTAAAAAAAAACTCCGGAAACTTTGGCAAACTCTCATATAGGAGTCCGTAAAAGTTGAAAAAGGGCTATCCACTGGCATAATTTTCACCTTTGCGGATCTTTTCAGTGTGAATATATATAAAGGCAATTTGTGACGGCGCTTCAAACTTCATTTTTTTCCTTTTCTTTTAGAAATTTTCTTGTACTTCTGACCTACGTTATTGAATTTTTTGTGAAATAAAGGCGAATGCCTAAAAACTTTGATCCCTAAATGATTTGAAGATGAGAAAAAATATTTCGTAAGAGTTACGAGAATTTTTTTCGAACAAGTGAGAAAGCTTATGTTATGACCTAACATCTTCCCTCCTCCTTCAAAAAGCTCTTTCAAAAAGTTTCCAAAGAGCTTTAAAAAACTTAGTGTTAACAGATGAAGGTGCTCAAACTCCAATAATTTGGAATTCTTTGGTTTAGTTTTGGTGTGTATATCGCAAAGATAGCTAAACTTCAGAAGAAACAATTGAAGATAGCTTCAAATTTTAAGATATTAGATATTTTGGAGAGTCACCAGAAAAAAGAAAAGTTGTCGAATTAATACTACCCACTTCACTAGCAAGCATTCTGATTACCACTTGCTGAGTTTGACGGCTTTTGGTGAAAAATTGGTCGAAATATTTGAGAAGTTGTCATGAAATGTCTTTTTACGGTTTTTGACTTCCATCAATGTTTGAGCCTATTTTAGAATAGAAGACTGAATAGCCTTGGCTACGATCTTGCTATTTTTTCAGAAATTTAGGAGGCTTTTAGATATTAAACACTGAAAAAAGCTGATTAGTGTCCATCTGACAAAAATGGCTCCTCTTGATATACACCCACTAGTCCCAACTTGGTAACCCTCACCTTGATGAAGAGCCAGTGTCAACAGGATGCAACCAGCTTTTCATACCAGTAGCTCAATTGCCACTAATTTCCACCGCATAAACGTCAAACCTAAGACGGGGATGCTCATGTGGTAGAAATCCCCTGAAGGAAAGTGTGACCTGTAGCCGTGGCTGCTGCCAGGGAGTATTGGACAGTCATGGCTAAAGCTAAATTAGTCGAGGTGGAGATTTTGAATGGGAATTTATCTTAAGTTTACTTGAAATGTTTGCTTATCACGCTATCTGGCTGATGTCGTGCAAGTATGACGAGTGGTAATTAATGTTTATCCTTAGTCGAAGAAAGCGATTGACGAGAGTGGGGAGGGTTTTTACTTTTCATAGATTTTCAACAAATTTTGATTTCATGATAATATATACATATGTGAAGCTGAGTAATTAGTAGTTGATAAATTGTTAGTTAGTGTGTTCTTTATAGAAAATTTCGTGTGTGGACCGATCGGCGCCAAACTTTGCACACATATGTTTTCGACACCGGTCCACCCCGTAGCTACTTTTCGCAGCGAAATTCCCACTCCTTCTATTGATTTGTCGATCTTGAAGAAAATGAAATTTTATCAACTGACATCAGACCGTTTCCGACTTACGTGTAAACAATAGCGGTAGAACTCATTTTCATTCCACGATCAGGGAAAGCGGTGAAAGTAGCAGATATGTTGAGCCTTTAGAGTTGAGCACCAAGTTCCTCTTTGTTGAGCCACTTGAAAGCACTGTGCGGGCGAAGCCGGCATACCAGTTACTTTGTAATGCAAATAATGGCAGGTGAGTGTATTAGTTCTTCAAGAGAATGATATTGTAGTTAGAATCATGGAGGGATTTACACCAAATACAATTTCGTATTTGCAGTGAACAAACTTTTAACTAGATCTCAACAATCAGAACATGAGCAACTCAAAAGACAAGAGAACTCATGAAAGGATGGAAAAATATCAAGACATCATAGAAGAAGTTTCTTCATTCTCTGCAAGAAAATACTTGTTGCATTCAGGAGATCTTAACTTCACGAAGATCTGCGTCACGTATGTAATCAAGCAAAGAAAGCAATATTCTCAATGCTTCAAGTGTTCTCCATGCTTTTCCAACACCACGCGGAGTCAATCATCTGTCTGATTGTGCCAGTCGTGTGCCTCAGACAATCGACCGGACCCCTCCGCCGGACAGTCCGAATCTGCCAGAGTCGCGCCGGACCCAGTTGACCAATGAGAGAGGGGCAAATGGGCGGTCCGTCGCAGTGACATCACTGGCAGGCAAGTGGGAGGCTTCTCCGGCCCTGCTGCAAAGGTACGCCATTTCTCCGGCGCGACTCTGCCAGATTTGGAAGAGCCGCGCCGGAGAAATTTACCCGGCGCGAGTCCGCCAGATTTGGAAGAGCCGCGCCGGAGAAAATCGGAGGGGTCCGGAGCAGAAAATGGGAGGTATCCGGAGCAGAAAATGGGAGGTATCCAGAGCAGAAATGGGAGGGCTCCGCCGGACAAATGGGAGACCCACCGCTGGGGAAACGCCGCGACCCTGCCATTTCTCCGGCGGAGGGGTCCTATCCGTTGCCTGAGGTACCTTGCAGTAAAATCATAACGTTGTCCACAGAGGCGTCTAGCGGAAGACGGATTTCGAGTCAGCGTTTTATGCTGCATTTAATATGTAGCTTGTTCAAAATGGTCACTGCGAATTCTGATCGTTCCCTTTTCAGAGAAAAAGTTGTTGAGTATCTCATGACTTTCAGAGTTTATCTAAGATGCTTTCCATGAACTTCATCGTAGAGCCTCATAATGATTGCATTTTTAAGCGTAATTTTATGAGGACGGAACAAACTGATTCACTGATTTTAGAAGTTGCATAGTGCACTCCATTCTCATCCACTTCACCCATCGTCATATGATAAAACAGTGATGCCGCGTTTTGTTCCAAAGCAGATAAGGTAACTGAGGTGGATAAGTACGACATGTGTGTATTGTTTATCACCAGAGAATTACTGCATGTGCTTCGAAAAAACTGAAAAACACATCTGTGAAAATACTATGCAGCACACAGTCCAAAATCGCTGTAACAGGTGCCCATACACTGTGTGCAAGTATCTCCAGGGATATAAACATTCTCCCCAACAATGTTTCCCCTGAATGCTTATGGTAGAGACAACGGTAGTGAAAAGTCACAGAACATACTTTGGATAGTAACGGCAGATAACCACATAGTCTGACTCGCAAGTTACTATGGAGCAACCCAAACTTTTTGTCCTCGCCCATCCCACCTAAAATAGTCGCAGTGTTTTCAGGTCCGATTCCCTCACAGATGACATGCAGTGTGCAGAGACGTTCGCATTACCTGTGTAAATGATTCAATTGGTGTCTTGACATGAGCCTTTCGGAACATCGCTTTCATTCCAATGCCAGGATAAAAACTAACAACTTTCCACCAGTTGGTGACAGCCTGGAAGATACTAAGATCTTATACTGAGAAATGCAGCGACAAGGTTCAAACATTACATTTTTGATTCCATCTTCCTGCGTAGGGACCGTGCTGCTTACAGAAACACGATGGTAGAGTTCGCCTGTTTCGTTCCTTGTGCTTGGATCCGAGGCGGCATGAGGGCAAGTTTTAGCATAAGCGATCGCGCCGGCCTCCAGCTCGCAGTCCAGGTCCTGAAATATTTGCTTGCTTTCCCTTTGATCATAGCACCCACCAGTCTAATCATATTCGTAGCCTGCGGAAGCAGATTTCCATTTTTCTCACGAACTAGACCTTGTGCGAGCTGAGTTCTGAAACCCATTTTTAAAAAAACATTCACTTGGATAATCCATATCACTGAGCCATTCAAGGACGCACCTTTTGGAGTTGTGGGAATTCAGAAAGAGCTCCCTCAATGTATCGGTCATTCCTATATTGTTCGGGCATTGCGTGTTTTCACCTAAAATAGAGCACCTTTTCACCTTAAATAAAAAGTACAAACTTTTTTGAACGCCAACCGAATTTGTGCTGCTGCACCCCAAATTCCCTAAACACATGAAGTATCAATCAAAAGAGCTTTCCAGCCCTATTTTTCTTTCTATTAAATACTTCAAACAAAAAATCCCTGCTATTTCGTGAGGCACTTTGTTGAAAAGGTGCAATGTTCGGCGCGAACTTTCATGGTAAAAATTATGTTTTGGCCCACAATTTTTAAAATAAGAGAAGTCGACGTAAATTACATATGTACGGATTGAATTACATATGTACGGATTATGTACGGATCTGCCAATCGGTAGTCATCTCTTATGGCAACATGAAAATGCTGAAGTACAAGTTGGGGTCTCGATTTTGTCCTACGAACCCGAAGTCCTATCGCACAAGACTTTGGAAGCGTTTTGGATCAGCGCTAAAAATCCAAAAAATGAACAGGAAGGAGGAGTGTATTGCAATAACCAACGAACTCGCGCCATATCAGGTTTGTGGTTTCCGAGGCTAGGTCAAGTCACCTCATTACTATAAATAGGGCAGAAGTGAGATATAGTCATTGCAGTTGGTGGTCCTCGTACCCCCTATGTAACGACTGGTGAGTACTGCTCAGCGTGGCTCTGGCTCTTTTCTTGGTACTAGCTTCCAATTGAGTTATCTTGCTTCTTCATTGACGTCTGCGGATGAAGATTTTTATGTGATCGACTTCCTGGGCCCTGAAGAAGGCGATTGCGCCGAAACTTTCGCCGAAGTTAATAAAGAGAAGTCGCCATCTTAGTCGTGTTGCTCAATACTATAATACTGTTGGAATGATATGTCTCCTGGCACCCAATACTACTTTCTGTTCTAAAGCGTTGAGACCACTAAGCTTTCGCGGATTTGGTGACAGTCCCCTCACTCAGTGTTGCGCAGATATCCTTTGTAAGCTCACTTGTTTCACTGCAGCGGTGCTGTTCAAAGTTCAAAATCACTTGAAGTGATGAGCTTTGACTTTTAGCGCGCATAAAAATAACGCCATGTGACAGTGCCCATCTAAAGACCTCGATTAGAAGGATCAGAAATCTTATTGGAAGACTAAGTTATCGCAGTCGTTACTAAGAACTGCGATAACTTGGTCTTCCAATAAGATTTTCTGTTGAAAAAAAGCTGCACATATTTTCTAGGTGCACCATTACTTCTGGATCACACTACTATACATATCTAGCTACGGAAAGACTAAGAGCGCGACTTGTAAAGCGAATAGAGTTTCCATGACGTTTCAAAAAGTATCATCTCTTGTACATGATTGAGTAAATATATTTAGGCAGCAATGTTAAGTCAATTCGAAAAGCAAACTCTGCTTTGGTGGCAGCACTTTGCTTCTCCCTCCTGCGATCTTCCAAACGGAACGCATCGCAGAAATCGAGCAAAAAAGATTTATGATGAAACAGATAACAAATTTTCTTTTCAGTGCTATGTCTTTTGTAAAACCCTGCCTAAACTATCGTACTCTGGACGTTTCCTCTGAACCCTCTTGGCACTGATGTTATCGAAGGTCCACACAGTTAATGACTGCATAAAGAACAGCTTTGCTTTTTAGCTGTTGTGGTAATCCCAACACACGCCGCGCAACACACGTTCATGGGCTTATACACATAGACTTCGGCATTTTCGTTATGCTTTTATCCATTCATCTGTTTCGCTTGAAGAAGCAATTATGACTTAAGGGCATCTTGCTTGTTCCGCCGAATACTGCGCGAATTTTGGCAGTCCATTAAAACTTACTGTATTTGAACATAATAAACGTGAGTTCATCTAGATCTACTTATAAAAGTTGTGCCGTTACTCTTTTGAAGTCAAATCTACAAACAGATTGTTTGTAAAAATTCAAACTGTGAAGTCGCCTGCGTCCAAATTCCCGCAAAACTGACAAGGACTAGGTGCCCCAAATATTTTCGTTTACCTTAGCACAATGAAAAAGTGCTGTATCAGCTATCAGCTACCTTTGCATTAGCGAAACCGTAATGCAGTTGCATATGCAAATGAGTCTCAAATCCAGTATGTAGCTTATATCAGAGTAAATGAAGTTTCGTAAACTATGAGAAGGTTTTCAATGATGATGGGAATGTACTCTAATTCGTCATGCTCAACAGCGATTATTATAAAATCATTTTCTGGCACCATATGTAACCCTGGCACGCTACAGAAGCAATAATCGGTTACCTTGAAGCAACATTTCGGACTTGTGCCAGTAGTGCATTTTGCTTTTCAGGCAAGCATGTAACCGTTAATGAATCCCAATAGGAAGTCCGAGACTTATTGTACAAATTTACCAAAAATTTGAAATTTGCACAAGCACATGTGAAGAAACATTTCCTCGACCAGCTGGGACGAAATCGACAACTCAGCCTTGCCTTTCGAAAATGGGCAGATATCTGCTGTTCGCCCCAGCTCAAACCTAGATAATGTCGAACTTCAATTTGAGTATTGATAATAGCACCTCAGCTATCTATTGTTGCCTTTCGAGCTGATATCATGCCCTGCTTAAAGGCAGTAACCCAGCGATCGCTCTGCGGTTTTTCACCCCCTCGGAGCCTCCTCGCCATGCTGAGGCCATATCTGAGATTCTATCGCTTGAGAATGCAAATATTAGCTCTTTTCGGAGCTTTCCGTGTCGGCGTTCGCTCCAAATTACCTGTGAGAAGTGGGCACGGCCGGAAGTGGGCGGTGTCCGGAAGACTTTCGGAGCGAATTTTGGGCTTACCAGAAGGGCTTTTTCGCTCCAGACTTATTCCAACGATCAAGACTCATCCTGCCAAGCAGGCTCCCTTTGAAGGCTGAATCACAATAGTATTATTTCTGACATTTACTCACCTTCCTCCGACGCAGACGATGCGGAGATGAGCTAAAAACTATTTTATAACTAGAATAATCTTAGGATGGGAGGTGAAACTAACCACAGCTGCAATGTAGAGCAACCAAAGCATTTTGATGTTTTTTTCGATGCGCTGCTCCTTTTATATGCATGCAATATCACGAGGACACCGTAGTCCGTTACAATTATGCAGCCACGTAGATTGCAGCTATCAATTCGATATTTACAGTGTGACTCTAAACTATCAACTCGATATTTACAAAGCTTTTTTAGCACTAATGTCATAATCTAGGTTACTGCTCCAGAATTTCGAAGTGTGAGTCTATGTTGGCGCGAACATGGCAATTACAGGAATATTACTGTTAGTTGAAAAAACGTCATCATGAATTCAATAACAGAAGCATTCACTGTGTACTCTTTGAAGTAAATTGAGCAAAGACAGGTGAGGTAAAGGGTTTTGACGACACACTGCAGCACACCTTCAGCTTCCACTACTCTCTGGCGTGACTGTTTGATTGTTGCAAAAAAGAGGAGTCGTTATGGAGGAAATAAAATGTGATTGGGATGTTAAGCGTAAAACATGGGTATAGTGTCGATTATTCAAAGTAATCAAAGGATTAAGTAATTAAAATCACAAAATGTAACCTAAAAATTTCGCGGCAGGCTACATGATAGAATAGAACGAAGTCACAGACAAGAGTAGTTGCGCAAACTTTTCGTTCATTATCGAGAATGGTACCATTAGCAGCTTGTATATGGAGTCAAGTACAAAAATAGCTTGAAAAAAGTAGCTCAGCGGATGTTGAATAACCTCGTATTGAAGGTATAACACAAATACAGTGTATAACACAAATAAACCAATCGAGGATCTGTTTTTGTAACCAAACACGTCAACCTGCGGTAAATATCTTTGTGCCAAAGCTGGCGACCTTCGAAGGCTGGGATGTAGTATTAGCTTGTTCCGAGAGTATTTCTCGCTTTCTTTTGGACGACTGCCAAGTTTCGCAGAACCAAAATTCATAGTAGGTTCTGTTAGCACTTGAGGCATCTTTTGAGTCCTTTTCACATGGTTGTGTTTCCTATTTAGTGAATTTGCTCCCAGGAAATCACCAGAATCTGAAACCCCGCTTTTTGCCATGGTCAAATTTGGCTATTTTCCTAGGTTTATATACTACGTCCTGAAGAAAACCGAGTAACGGATGGATAAAGCAAACTTTACAAAATGAGAAGCAAATTTTCTCTTATTCCATAGCTTATTGATTTTTGATAAGATTTTCGACAAACTAGGGAACTTTAGTGCAGAAACAAACACGTCAAACATCAGTGAATTATCAGAATTTGGAATCATGAGTGGTTCATGATTCGACACTAATTTCACAAAGCAAGTAGTAAGCGTTTAGGGATTCGAAAAAATCAAATTTCGAATATTCGCCCTGCCTGAGACGCTTCAAAAACATGAATCATGTTGATTTTATCCCTTTTGAATTAGAAACAAACAACACCTGTTAGAAAAGGTTAAATGCTGCATCGAAACTCGAGTGGTTCGACGGTTGATCTTCTAAGAGGGTTGAGTTGACCAGATAAGTAATTTGATAGCTTCAAAGAAATGATTTTGAAAATCTCAAAAAGCAAGCTATGGAAGGGAAAAGAATGTTTTGTTTCCTGTAAGGTTTTCTGTCCATCCGCTTTTTGAATTTTTCGGACATTCAGTTTAAAGTTTCAAAAATTAGCGAAACTTCATCATATCGTGGTAATGTGTGCGTGTTCTCAGATTTTGTTGATATTTCAAAAGCTCCTTTAATGCATTGTTATGAAAAGATGCATCAAGTGCTGATGAGCATTTCATGAAGCCGTTCAAAAAAAGCAATATTGGATGGACCTGATAGATAGGTTTTGCCTGTGGCCCATCACGGGCTATCATGGTAGGAAAAGATACAGAACGTCCAATTATTGATTGTTTTTCTGTTGAATTTACTCCTTTATGGTCGCACCAAAACTCAGGTGGACTGCAGTATGCAAGTGTTTTACAACCTCGTACGTTCCCTGTTCATAAAACGGCTATGTGTTGTATATCTACATGCTTTCTTTGCCAGACAGATATAATTGCTGTAATAAAATTATACTTTGATATAGTGACTCTATTCATCCCAATGTTTCGGCACTAATGCCTTCCTCAGAGGCTTAAAAGTTAGCCGTTCACCTTTATCTTGCACTTTACACAGCCAAAAGTCTCTCCTTCACGCTCTACTGTTTTCGTTTTAAGTGAGATGTGGCCGTGTAAGATGGGCCAAAACGTTAGGCCGACTGCAGCAATTACCTAATTCAGCGCATCTTTTTCGATAATCAAGGGAGCCGTTCAACCGCTCTACTTCAAACATTCAACCCATTATTATTAGGTTGTCCCGAAAGTAATGTCGTTTCATTTTCAAAAATTCATAATTCCTCGGAGACTCAACCAATTTTCGAACCTCAAATTTTGTCAGAAAGAAAAAGTCTCTGCTTTTACGAGGGTTCTCTTGGTAAGCCCTAATCTGTAAAATATACAAAGATACAGGCAGAAGAATGAGACCAATTTTACTTCGATTATTCTAAGTTAGGTCACCGAAAATCTGGAATGCTGCAAAAAAATCTGAAATCGTCAGTACATGTTTTTTTGGCCTACCCTTTGCATCTGTGAAAAAATTGTGCTGTTTGGACATCTCTGTGAGAAGTTATGAATATCGAGTTTACTATGGAAAACGCCAAAATTAATTAAATTGTCAATTTTCGCGAAAACCATAACTTCTCACAGAGACGTCCAAACAGCACAAACTTTTCACAGATGCAAAGGGTAGGCCAAAAAACATATGTACTGACGATTTCAGATTTTTTTGCAGCTATCCAGATTTTTGGTGAACTAACTTAAAATGAGCAAAGTTTATATGGTCTTCTTTTTCTATTTTTATCTCTGCAATCAGTGCGTAACAGGGGCTCGGCAAAACAGCATTTGAAAGCGTAAGATTTGCCCTTTCTAATAAAAATATAATGAAGCAAATCCATTGAAAGAGCGCAAAGTTATGATTTTTCAAAAATGAAACGACATTACTTTCGGGACAACCTAATATATACGACATGCTACATCAGACATCTTTGGTTGAAGTCGAGTATTGTTGTTAACATGTGATCGCTTGAGATAATGATTTGATAGAAATAGCAATATTTGCTTGTAAACCTCTCCATGGAGACAGCAAAAAAAATCTCTAAATCGCTTTTTTCGATCGAATATGTCATTGAAAAACAATGTTTGACCCAATAAAGTTACTTGAAAGCCTGTCGCCAAATTCGCCCGAATGCAGAATTATGTTTGCTACAAAATGAAGTTACCAGAGTGCTGGTAGAATATCTTGAAATGAGTTTTTTTGGAGATGATTGATGTTCATTTTAATGCTGTAAAACCTAAGTTTAACCTCAGATGTTTAACTACGTTAGACGTCAATGATAGTCAAAGATTCCTTGTTTCACTCTAAGCTGCTCTCAAATTTTCTTACGCAGCGTTGCTTGTATGAGTTCAATCGTTTCATCACTCGACAGTCTTTTCCAGAGTGTTATCGTATGATCGCATTCAAGGTTTCGTCGCATAATTGTTGATAACCGATTTTTAGATGTTTTAATCCCAGAAAAGAACAATCCAGTAAAATGTAAAAGTCTTTCGTGACTTGTGCCGAGCAGTTGCGGAAAATGTTAGATAATCACATAAGTTCTTCGATAAAAATAATGGATTGTTGTTTTTTGGCATTAGTAACAATTTCATTGGCTAGTTCTTCATTTTTGGTATTCATGGAAAAATTATGAGCTTTCTAGTGGCGCTTGTAGAAAAAAATGATTTTTCGAATATGGCGGATAGGCGCTTATATGAAGTGATCAAATTCTCCCTTTCCAAAACCGGTTGATAAAAGATCTGAATGGTTTAGTCAAAATTTCAAGTTATTGTCATAGTTCTGCGAATATCATGTCGTACTAGCGATGTGGTAAAAATGCATATCATCAAACGCGTTTGAATTGGTCTCAAATTCGCTTCCTCTGCTGAACATTCCTCCAAAAAAATTTCTGAGGATTTGGTAGTCTAAGGCCCGTCCCCCCCCCCCCCCCCAAATCACAGCGGCGAGGGGAGCGACGTCCTTAAAGGCAGTGGATCGGCAAAACTTAATAACTCAGAATTTTAACGCGGTAGGTTCCTTATCGCCCAAGTATGAAAACAGTGCAATCCCGGTTGCACAGCGTGCCTTCCTTGCCGAAAAAATTGCACTCAGACTCACACGCGCAAGCCAATCTTACACGCGCCGGACGAGTTGGCAACAGGGTCAAGTTTGTGATGCGACTGTCGCAACGGGGGGTCGTAAAGAGGGTACCTAAGGTGGGGGAGGGGTCGTAAGAGGAAGTAGTTAGGCTAAAATACTTTAAACTTAAAAGGGAATCAAAAAGCAGATAATTAGTTATGTTCTTTACAATAAATTTATAAAAAAGTGGAAATCAGAATAAAAAAGATTAAAAATCTGTAGAAATTCCCAAAAAAAAACATTTACAAGAGCTCAAAACACTTGTGAAGAATGTATGATTTGACAAAAATGCTAAATGTACCGATTGCCCTAGAAATCTTGCTTCTGAAGCCGTCCTGAAGTCTCACACACTCGACAAAAGCGCACATCTAGATCAACGATAACAATTAATAATTCGTAAATCTCTTTGTAATGCCATTTATGCGGCCCTTACAATTTATATATACTTTAGATAAACCCTGCTATTGCTGTGCGAAATCTGGTGTTAAATTTTGTAAACATTTTGTATTTTGTAAACTGTGGATTTTCTTATGATTTTATGTATGGCAGCAGAAAATCAGAAAAGGGGGGTCGTATCTGCGCGTCATCTAAAGTTTTTCGGGGCCAGCTTGTTGGCTGCAATTTTGCTGTAATATGAGGTCGTCCTCCTACTTTCCCTCATAAAAATTGCAGGCTGTTTCATGACTTCTGTGGTGAGTTACAAAATTTTGAGCTCAAAAATCCCAGTTTTTGCTTTTTAGGATCTAAATTTGCGAGAGCCTCATCTAGATGTTTTCGGGCTCAGTGCTCCTCAAGGGCTGAAATTTTTTCCATGGATAGTCTGCGCAGTGTGCTACAGAAACTGTTCATTGCAGCCTCTCAGTCTTTTCCTGGCCTTAGTTACGAATTTTCAAAATACCGTGCTCATGCACGTTTTTGACAT